GGTGGGGAGGAAGGAAGGGAGAGAATTTGGAACCCAAAGTTTTAAAAACAAATGTTAAAAAAATTGTTTTTACATGCAACTGGGAAATAAGATTGCAAGGAAAACTGAGGAGGATAGATCCCCCCCCCGTCCTGTGCTGTAACTGCCTCATGACCTGATATAAAGATAAATTGGAGTTACCATGCATGACTGTGTACCAAGGAGATTGGAACATTAAGTAGCAAACAAACTATGTTACCCAGGAAAACAATTTATCTCAAGGAACATTTTTCTTGGGAAAAGTGTGCAACTTTCCAAGGAATTGATCACTCCTTGGAGATTTACACAACAGGTATTTGGAGCTTTGATCAAGATCCAACCTTTGTTAGAATGTGTATGTGCCCTGGACCTGAGGGCTCACAAGGGTACATAAACAAAACAAAATATCAAGATTATCTTTCCCTGGTTTACATAGATATGAAAGGGAATTTTTGGAGTGCTTTGATATCAGAGATAGGGACGTCGAATCTCTGTTGATCAGAAGCAGATCACATGCACAGCCTCTGTTGAGTCAGAGCGGGACGCTGCCCCGCTGCCTCCCTGACCAACCCTTTGGCCGTTCTTCAGTCTCCCTGGTCCAATAGGTATATTTGAGCTCACCTGGTCAGTGAGTGTGTATCCTTTCTTTTCTTATTCCCCCTTTTCTTTATTTTGATTATTACTTATTGTATTGAATGTTATTCTCATCTTTATGTGTGTTTTGCCTTAATCATTATTAATCATTGTGAAATAAATGTGATAATTTGTTAAGTTTACACTGTGTGTGTCATTATATCTTGAGATCCAAACCTAAATTGAAAGCACTGTGCAGTCCATAATCCTTTCGATTACAAAGATATACAGGCAATGGGGTATAGAAATCTATCCTGTCAACCAGGAAAATAGAATAAGAAAGGGATAAAAGAAGGGAGGGGGTGATAGAAGGGAGGGCAGACTGGGGGAAGTGGTATTCGGAATTCACATTGTCCTGGGGTGGTGGGAGGAGAGGTGGGGAGAAAATTTGGAACTCCACATCTGGTGGAAGTGAATGTTGAAAACTAAAAGTAAATAAATTAATAATAATAGTGATAAAAAAGAATGAAACTTATTGCCCTATGACCATCACACTTAAAATGTAATACTCTTGTACTAAATGTGCTATGCAAAGAATTAGAAACGGCACATTGAAAGCTATGGAGAGTTGCAAAACATGCTTTTCAGAAGAAATTTGTTATAAAATCACAATTTAAAGAGTAACAACAATCTGCTGCCCCATGATAGGATTCAAAATGAAATCAGCTACCTTAGTTATTAATTAACCCTCTGGGATATAAAGCAGCATAAAGACATTGTCAAAATATTCTTTTGACTCTGGATATAGTAGGTATAGTTAGAAAACTAGTATTTTGCAGAGAGGGGTAGAGAATGCTGAGAGTGTTGTACTAGCAAGGGATTACTGCATGATGTGGCATTGTGGAATCAACATCTTAAGATAATAGTCAACCTCAAGAGAGTCTGAATCAACACTTGGACTTTCTGGTATGTCTAAGTGCAAATGTATGGTAGTTTGCTGATTTGGAAGTATATGGGTACAGATTTTGAGTAATGGTGTGTGTGTGTGTGTGTGTGTGTGTGTGTGTGTGTGTGTGTATTTAGATCCCCAGAGGGCAAGAATCATCCCCAACATGAAACTGATTAGTGTCAGCATTTGGAAAACAAAAATTTAGGCATCATGCAGAGGCATTGTCCCCAGCTGAGACTGAAGAGCTTATGTTGTTTTAGCTTGTGAGGGAAAATTCAGATAAATGTTTTATCTGAATGGCACAGTTCAGAGCTCCAACTAGTCTTCCCACAGGAGAAGAGATCACTCACAGAGATACAGTTAGATTCAGAGCCTCAGTGGGTTAATGAAAACTTTTGTGATTGCTTCCTTGATCATATAAAATCTTTATGAAAGTGGCCTAACAAGGTTTTACCTGAAAAGTAAATTAGCAAGCATTGTTGACAGTTTTCTGCAGAAGACTACATCTTCATAGTTACATAACTCACTGAGAAGTATGAGGAATGTAACAGTTTATCCCACTGTATAAGTTTTATACAAAACAGTATTTGATTTAGTAGAGTCAAATGAAGGGGAAAGGGGGAAGGTAAGAAGCTTTTAATAAGTGCAAACACCTCACAAATATCACATTTGATTCTCATAATAACCCTGAGAAGTAGGTACTCCAGCTGTTCAATTTCTTCTGAGTCATCCCAGAATGCTCCCAAACTTGGGCACTCATAGAAGCCCTTGTATGTAAGCCAGTGGTAGAGAAAAAGGGAATGAATGACAGACATACCTCAGTTCCAGGGTAAGGAGGCAGAATTGAAGTAACAAGATACCGAGGAGGCCACAGTGCCTGCGTACTTCGCTGTATTATCCATCTCTATCATCTTTTCAAGAGGGATGTCTGCCAATACATTCTCTGGCATTTTACTACAAAGGTGCAGTTTCGCCTAATTATGCCCTTAAATCAAGCTCCAGTCTGTTGGCTGGGTTAAAAAGTGGACCTGATTTTTCTGAATCTTTTATGTCCTGAAAATCTAGTTGCAATGGAGAATGAAGTCTGGCTTTATTTCAGCAAAAATCTGGACATATACTGAGTGCCTGATTTAGAGGAATTCTTGAATCCCTGGGAAATGCACCAATCTTCAGGAGTTTCAGATGGAAATATATATGGATTGAACAGATTACTTCCCATTAGAAATAAATGGGCCTTGAAGTTGGCACAATTCTATACAGATTTGCTCACAAATGCCTGAAAAGCCTGTAATTTAGATTATACTTAATTTTAAACCCTAAGAAGACAAAAGAGGTGAAGCTCCATTGGGTGTTTTTGCATTTGGCCCTTCAGGTGACTTGTTGGCCTCACACACACACAGAGACAATTGCCTCTTCCTTTGATGAGGCTTTCATTTTGTAGAAGAGCTGCTAACTCAATAATACAACTTTGGGAGACAAATGTTGAAATTAAAATAAAAAATGTCTTTGTTTTCTATTCACAGCATCAGGCCCTTATCTCTAGCCTTACTGTCAAAATGATTTCTTTATCTTTTTTTTTTATAAAGGGAAAATCTACATTCTTTTTCTTTTCAGTGTAATTGGCTTAGAAATGTCCCTAATATGAATTGAATACATTGCTACATCCTTTAAGTTATTCAGTTTTCAATAAATGTTTACTAAACACATACTATGTGCTATTCATTTGGTCCATTGAAATCTATCTTTAAATTGAAAAAGGTGTCTAAGTCTCATCTGTGACTATGCCTGATGCAGTGGTGGAAAGATTAGCAGGTGCTGTGATTTTCAAATCCAACTCCTCAACACTCTTTTTTTTGGTGCACAGTTGAGAGAATATACTGGTTTGGTTCACAGCAATTATACATACACACACATACATAAACATATATGTATATATGTAGGTATATATGCATATACACATGTGCATACACTCATGTATACATACCCGGACATACATATATGTGTATAGATACATACATGTGTATATGTATCTATGTGTATGTATGTATATATGACAGGCAAGTGTCTTCCTCAAAAGCTAAGGAACATTTTGCACAATTAAAATTATTCCCTCATGAAAATTTGCTGCACAATTTTGATTTTTAATAAAACTTTAGATTCAGCTGATGAGGTGATGGGACTTGGACCCCTAAAAGGAAAAGACCATGTCTTTGAAAACAACCCAGTCCCTGAATTTTCCCATACATTTCAGCAGTCCATATCGCTGGCCCCTCTGCCCAAGGGAACTAGCCTCGATCACATAATCAGCCTGCTTGATGTTCCTGTCACAGTAGCTCTTGGCCAACCCCAGACTTACTTGAGTACACAGACCACTTATTAATCCCATCCAGATCCTTCCTTTTCATTTATAAACATTACCCCCATTAAGTTGCAGATTCCCTAAGAACCCTGCCCTGCTTCTATGATTTTGCAATAAACCTTGTCTTTTGGCTGGAAGAAGGTTTCAGTGTGTGAATTCATTAGAGGTGGACGTCGCACCATGCCCTGACATTTCAGGGTTCCCAGCAACCCCAAACTGCATTAGGAATGCTTTATATGCCCAAACTTCTGTCACATTTAATTCCACTGTGAACTTTTACAGTTCTAAGGCAATACAAAAATACAACTCAAAACTGATTTCCTACTTCTATTTTATACACGCACACATACACACACACACACATATATACGTGTGTGGTATATGTAAAATCTCATAATTCTTATGATAGTAGGTCATGACAATTAAAGTTATAAAGTTATACAGTCACTCAAATGTTTATTATACTACAGTTGTCTTTAGGGGCTCCCTGGATCCCCATAATAGCAATGCATTTATGGGTTTTCTCACCAAACATCAGGAAGCTTTTCCTATAGCCCCTAACATTGCCTGTGTTCCATTACAAGGCTGAGAAATAGAAGGAAGAGTTCTAAATAAAGAAATGAATTCTTACCCCTATAAAGCGTCAGATAATCAAGAAACTACTAATGAAATAACATAAGGTTCAGTGAGTCCTTTGATTCTTTCCCAGTCTTTGTCCTTTCCCAATCATTTTCTAGACAAATACATAAATGTCAACTTCCATAAGCAACTGCGTGATTTAATGTAAACTGACCCGAACATGCCAGGTCATATATCCCATTCTAAGCATAATGGACCCAAAACTGAAGCGCCTATCTTCTAAGAGGAAATACATTCTTCTTAGTAAATATACTATATTTTCCTAATCCTATATGAACATTAGATTTTACAGCATCTAAGAGCTCCAGGGAAATTTGGCCAAAAGACTACATTTGATATATTTCCAATATGAATGATTTTAGATGACATTTGATAAAGTTGTCTATATAGTCTCCCAATTTCGCAAAAATTTCATTTTTAAAAATCAGGCAAGGTGAAAGGAAATACATAAAGGAAGAATACCATTTCTTCATTTTCAAACTGCATGTTGTACTGGGCTGCATCTTCTGGCATTGGCTTCTGTACAATATTTCTGCAAACGAGCCATGTGGTCAAACTAGCAATGAACATTCCGATATCTGGTACAAATACTCTGATCCCATTGCCAGCATCTGCTCCCTTCAAGCTACAGAGAAAAGAAAAAAAAAAGTAATGAGAGGGGAATTAGTTGTATTAATGTTTCCTTGGTAGAGCATCTTGAAATGTGAAAAAAAAAATGTGCTTAGCATAAAGTCCAGTAGTTATAAACCTGGAAGTAAAACAATTGCCCAACATTGGGCATCTGGATGGTGCGGTGTATACATAGATCAGTGTTCTTGAAGCCAGGATGACCTGAATTCAAATCCTGCTTAGACACTTCTTAGTTGTGTGAACATTGGCAAGTTACTTAAGCACTGTCTCCCTCAGTTTTCTTATCTGTAAAATGACAATAATAACACCTATGTCACAGAATTGTTGTGAGGATCAAATGAGATATTTGTAAAGTACTTAGCACAGTTCTTGGTTTATAGTAGGTGCTTAATAAATGCTTATTCCCTTTCCTTTTTCTAACACATAGGTTGGCATAGTCATCTGATGTTTTACTTTTCAAGCTTCGTGACATCACCAAATTTGGCAAGAATGTCAACTATGCCATCATCTAAGTCATTAAGACAATCTTTGGGGTACTCTACTATTAATCTGCTTCCAAAATTATATTACTCCATTAATGATTCTTCTATATGTCCATCCATTCCATCAGTTCCAAATCCACCTAAAAATGCAGCTATATAGTCCTTTTTTTCTCCATTTTGTCCACAAAGATAAAATGAGAGACTATGTCAAATCCCTTCCTGGAAAATTTAATCTTCAATTGCTAATTTAAATAAAATAATATCTGATTAAAAAGAAGAATCTCCAAATTAATAAAGATTGGAACTTAAGTTTAATGGTTCTTGCCTCTATCCCCAGAAAATGAATTGTAGATGAAAGAAACAAAAGCAGGGTAATTTCAAGTACAAAAATATCTGTTATTATAAGTGACCAGAAAAAAATCCATTATTAAATTGTTATCACTACTCTTGTGTCATACCCTTGAGACGCATTCTTTCCCCGAAATGTTAAAACATGGCTTACAGAACAATTTAATAACAGTACTTTCTGGATCTATGAGTGGAAAGTAATATATGAATGAAAAAAATGAAAAAAGAGAATGATGATAAAGATAAAAATTAATTGAAGGTAGAGAAAATTTTTTTTAAAATACAGATTTCCAATGAACTGGTTAACTGAGTGATCAGAAAAGAAATAGTTAAAATGCATAGAAAGTTAGGAAACAAAAGGAAGTGAAAAAGGAGAAAGAAGTACATGAAGGAGCCTAAAGATCACCTCAGTGTTGAATATGAAAACATTCACACTGGGCAAATGGAATAATAAGGTATACCAAATTAAGGCACATTCTGCTCAATTTCATAGCTTCAGCCTACCTTTCTGGGTTCATTACACATTACTCTTTGTGAACTCTATCTTCTAGATAAATAACCTCATTTGCTGTTTCCCATGCAGTCTATTCTTCCCTCCAGGTGCTTTTGCACAGATCATCCCTCATTCCTGGAATGTCCTCCCTCTTCACCTCTATGTCATATAGTGCTTAACTTCCTTTAAGATTCAGTTTAAGGGCACCTTTTATAAGAATCAAATCTCACACGTGGATAGTTCTCTCCCATTGGAAATTACTACACATTTATACCATGTGTGCACACACACATGCAGCAATCTACACAGACATACATACATATACATGTTATATTACACATTGCTTCCTCCCAATAGAATGTGAGGGAAGGGAGTACAGTTTCGTTGTCTATGTCTTTGAATCACTAACATCTAGTACAGTCCTTGACACATAGTACTCACTTAATAAATGCTTTTTGACTAATGGAGATAGCTCTAAAGGACTAAATAAATTTCACAAGTAAAAGAAAATAACACCTAGGGAAAACAATCCAGAAGATACTTATATGGTAATAGCTTCTAAATAATCATGTCAGACTTAGGAAAGGAATCAAGGAATAGCTAATTCCTAAAGGCAAAGATCTAATAAACTCTTGTGGCCATAACTACATCCTTCAAATTCATCAGGAATGATGATTAAAATTATTAAAAACAACGGAGAACTATTACCACACCTTCATATACCAGCAATGCTGCATACTTGCAATGCCATTTATAATTTTTATTGTTGCAGCCTAAGAAATGCAGTGATCTGTGAAACAGGATCTGTTGTGGGGGAGGGAGGGGGAAGTTGGGTGGGAGAGATACAAATACAAATAATGAAACAATCCCTACTCTCCAGGAGTAATGGAGGGAGACAAGTACAAAAAATACATATACACAGTATAAAGACACAAATAGCAATACCAATAATCAATCAATAAACATTCATTAAGCACCTACTCTGTGTCAGGGACTATATAAGGTAGTTAAATACAAGTCAGTTTGAGAGGAAAGGGTTGGACTAAAAAGATCTTAAGATTTATTTCAGCTCTAACATTTTATCACTCAGTCATGTCAGACTCTTCATAATCCCGTTTGGGGTTTTCTTGGCAGATATACTGGAATGGTTTTTCCATTTCTTTCTCCAGCTCATTTTACAGATGAGGAAACTGAGGCAAACAGGATTAAGTGACTTGCCCAGGGCCACATGGCTAGTTAAGTGTCTGAGGCCAGATTTGAATGTAGGAAGGTAAGTCTTCCTGTCTTCAGGCCTGACACTCTATCCACTGAGCCACCTATTTGTCTCAACTCTGACATCTACTCTATCTATTATACATGTGCACTACTGAGTGAAAACTTCTTTTAATATTCAAATCATGTTGAAATTAATAGGTTTAGAATTAGATCATTTCTTCCAGAAGTATATGGTGAGCTGAATTCTTTAAATACCTATTAAAGTCTACTTTTTATTACATGAGATCCTAAGTATCAGGACTTGATAATCAATTTTTTCAGCTTACATTCAAGATATTAGTGGCTGGATTTATGAGACTCCTTTTCTTTTAAGATCAAAATCAATGGTTGAATGTTTCCCTTCTTCATCTTTTCCATTTGGAAGAAGGCACTCTTCTGCATCATGCCCCCCCCCCCCAGCTGGCTTTTTACTTTTCCCCTGTAAGAGCTGCAAAATAAGTCTATTAAGCCTATTAATTCTTACTTTTGTTGGAATGATATCCTTAAAGTGGGAGGGATTAATGATTTGAGATACTTCCTCCTGGGCATATTTACAGACTGTAACTCATAATAATCATAATCATACCAACAATGTTCTCATTTAGAGGAATTAATATTATATCATATCATTATATTAATTACTAATTATTAATTGTGATCTACCCTTTTTCCTTCTCCAGTTTTTTTTTCTGAAGAGGCATGATTGACTGATGAGATTGCTGCTAGCCCTCAAGGCACATGCTCCTCAATTTTGGGCAGGACTCCACCCAACTAGGAGATCTAATTTCTGCTTGAAGTATAAATAGAAGCCAGTCTGGGTGAGTCCTTATACTGAGGGAAGGAACCTCAGTCCTTACTCTCCTCCATTAGAGTTTAGGGTGATCCAGCTAATAAAGAAGAAAAGCAACCAGAGAGGTCCTATGGAAATGGATTCCCCTGCCCAGGTTACTGGAGATCTGAGTATGACTATAATGATAATCTCATTCAGGCTTTCTTTGACTGATTTTTTTTTTAAGTGAGGCTATTGGGGAGTTAAGTGACTTGCCCAGAGTCACACAAGCTAGGAAGTATTATGTGTCTGAGGCCAGATTTTAACTCAGGTCCTCCTGACTCCAGGGCCAGCGCTCTATCCACTGCACCACCTAGCTGCCCCTTCATTTAGGCTTTGAAAACTTTGTTTTGCAAACTGTGAACGGCAAATAAAAGAAACAGGACTGGTTTTCACTAAAACTAAAACAAATTCCACTATCAGTCTATGCCTGTGGATAAAAAAACACATTTACAGAGCTCTATACAATTCTTCCTTCTCATGTAAGTGGAGTGAACTTTTCTAAATCCTATTTCCATAGATGAATCAAGATAGAATATTGGTTCAAAACCAAAGATACTAGACCACAAATCCTATGAGAACCAGTTCACTTTACAACCTGGCTTTTTCATTCTTAATTTTAGAGGAAAATTTTTTTTTTACTCATTCTCTGATGCCCAGTCAATTACAGACTGTCTCCATTCACTGTCTCCAATTCAGTCTGTGTAATATTCAAACTGTCTGCCTATGCAATATTGAAATAACAATATAATAGTATCTGCCACAGGCTTCTTTCCTCAGTGCTTTCATAAGCATATGGGAAGGGAAGAAGACTAAATTGTTCACACCCAAATTTTGACTGGGGTGTGAACTAAGCTAAGCAAATTGTAATGAGATGGAATAACATGAAAGCCCACTGGTACTCTCTCCCACACAAACCTCCAAGAAATATTCAAAATATATCCAAATACTTCAATATTGATGGCAGAGGTATTGAAAAGCATTTGCTGTTAATATGGTTTATATCAGACTAGTGTAGATGAAAACAATGATAGATTGGGTTTATCTTATAACAGTCAATGCCTTTAGAAAAGTATCATTGTTCAGGACAGTCTTTTTAAGAGTAAAAAAAAGAAATATTTTGAGGTATACAGTTATTATTAGCATTTATAAAAAAAGATATGGATAAGAAGCTGAGGAATCTTCATCCAGTTTTCAGCTCTATTTCTTATTTTCTGCATTCCTTTTCGGGGAAGAAACTCTTCCCATATTTTTTTTTTCTTGGTGAGGCAATTGGGTGAAGTGATTTGCCCGAGTCACACAGCTAGTAAGTGTTACGTGTCTAAGCCTGGATTTGAACTCAAATTGTCCTGACTCCAGGGCCAGTGCTCTATTCACTGCGACACCTATTTGCCCCTACTCTTCCTATTCTTGATCAACTTTTCTTCCTGCAAATTAGAATACATTTATTTTCCTATAAGTCTGGTAGGCTAAATAGTAACCATACCAGACTCAAGAGCCTTTCTTTACTCAGTACAAGTGAAGATTATTTTGAAGAGTTCATTTCTATTTGGAAAACTGGAGGAATGAATCTTGAAGAACAGTAAAAA